GAGAGAGAGAGAGAGAGAGAGAGAGAGAGGTGGTCGTGGAAAAAGCGAGGAGTCGTCGTGGTCGGAAAAGCGAGGACGGAAGGAATCGCGCCGGCAGTTTTGCTCCGCGACCGTGTGGTAACGTTCAAATGGTGACTCGTCGCGCCAAAAAAGGAAGCTTGCTGGCTCGTGGGCGAGCAGTTCTTGCGGGGGCGACACCTCGTCCTCATCCTCGTTGTCGTTCGCAATGGTAGGAGTCACACGCAGGTGGCCGCGATCCAGAATGATCTGTGTTCGATCGCCGACCGCTTATCGATTATTCTCGAGGCACTCGATATCGAATCGATCCTTCTGCTCGATCTTTCTCGTGCTTCTGTCTGTCGACGTCGAGTAACGTTGTATAATCAGTTGTAGAGAGAGTACGTTGAATTAGTTTTAATTAGACGTGTTCGAGTTGAAATTAATAGTGACGGTATATATATAATAAACTGTCGATTTCATCTCTCGACGCGTGTACGCCTGTGTGTTGCCGAATCGACTTGCCGAGTCAGAAATCATGGATTCGTCGACTGTGAGAGCATTGTCGCGTGCAACAAGACCGATGTTGTCCGCCGCGTTTCGATCGTTCTGACTCACTCACGCCCCATATACGGACGCGTGTCTCAACAGAAGGATCACAGCAGCCTGACTAATTCTTGGTAAATGGACACAGATGTGCCGCCCGTCCTTCTGCCGTGCGCCATCTGCGCACGGACATTTATGCCGCAGTCGTTGGAGAAGCACTCGAGGATCTGCGAACGATCGGCGAACAAGAAGAGGAAGCCATTCGACTCGGCCAAGCAGAGGATACAGGGCACCGAGCTGGCCGAATTTCTGCCCAGGCAGGAGAGGAGCAAACGACGACGCTCGCCGGACGACAAGTCCTCCAAGCCCGGATCCACTTGGAAACAGACGCACGATGACTTCCTGCGGGCCATCCGCGCAGCGCGCAACGAAATTGTAAGCTTCAAATTGCCATTGCGTTACAAATAAATCTGCAAGTATAATTATCACATTTGAAACTAACGAACAAGGATTATTGGGAAATGCGAGAGATCAA